TTGGGGATGTTGTAAGCAAAGACTTATAAATTGCTTGGCACAGAGAAACTATTTATTGAAACACACATTTGTGAAAGGGATAAAACATGTCAGTGTTCCAAAATAATGATTATCGCCCTGGCCGGTTTGGCTCAGCGGTTAGAGCGTCCGCCTGCGGTCCGGAGAGACCCGGGTTCGATTCCCGCTGAGGGCATGTACCTCGGTTGCAGTTTGTCCCCGGCCCTGGTTGGTCGTGCGGGTGGCAGCCACTCGATGTGTCCCTTTCACATCAATGTTTCCCTCTCTCTCTCTTCCTCTCTCTCCCTCCCACTCTGTACAAAAATGGAAAAATGTCCTCGGATGAGGATTAAAAAAAAATAATAAAAAAATAAAAAATAATGATTATCTATGTATTTACACTGTTGACTATAGTGTGATCTTGGGCCTCCATGCTTTGTTCTCACTCAGAATCCTAGGGTTATCCAGAAAAGAAAATGTTACTTTTTATTACAGCCACTTCATATTTTTCCTTTGACATTTCCTTTAATTATTTTGAAAAACTGCATTTCCTTCCATAATTTGAAGATAACATCTAAAATTTTTATTGTAACTTAAAAAACTGTAAATAATTTATGGTTTATTATAAAAATTGACATTTAAAAATAAAATTCTATATTTTTTAAAAGTTATATTGATTTAAAAATCAGATTGACTATATTTTGAGACTCTTTATTATTGATTTAAAATATACACTTATCAACAAGCTGCTTTTTAACATGTGAACATTTTACATCTTTCCCTATCTCTTTTAATTAATATTTTCATTACCCTTCTCTCATAAAATTTTATTCAAAAAATATATATTTTTATCTTTTTTTCTCAATTAGACCATCATACTTTTCTAGAAAAACAATGTGTATATGTTGAGATTTTAAATTTTCCTTCATATCTTGTGATTATAAAAATCTTACAAATTTTTATATAAACTTATTAAACCTGAAAAGTAAAATTTTTAGAAATGTATCTCTTTATAAGATCAGCAAAGCTTTAAATACTTCTTGTATTAGTGGCTAAATGAATAAATGGTATATAATGTACTGTGTGTGTGTGTGTGTGTGTGTGTGTATTTGCTAAATTGGTTCTACAAATAGTATATAATTTAATTTTTGTCAATATGAGGTTCCAAAAACTAAACTTTTTATATTAAATGAAATATAATGAGGTTTGACTACAATTAAATTAAATATTTCATAATATAATTGCATTATATAGTTTTTAAACTCAATTTTTAATCATACAAATTGAATCTGAAATGAATCACAGAAATGTGGCATCTACGGCTTTATTCATTTCATCTTGAAAAGTTTGGTTGTCTCAGAAAATATTCCAGTTATATTTAAAAGAATCAATGTCACTAACCTATACTGCTTCAGTTGTTGCAAAGTTCTTGTTTTCAAGCCAAAAAATACTTCTTAGGAGTAAGTATTGAGAATAACAAAAAGAATAGCTTCTTGAAAACATTTTAAAGTCATTTTTAGCTTTTAGTTTCTATTCCCTATTGACACTCTTTTTGCTTTGTTCTAATGGGTTTCTTCCTCAAGAACAATGTACTCTTTCACATTATTCAGCTAAATACAAGGCAAAGTCATCAAATGAAACTTGTCATTGCTCTGATCACCCTACTCTACCATATGTTTGACTTCAGGACTTCCCATTGTGACACTAAACTGCATACCAGCACCATGCTTCTTTAGCAGATGTAAGCAGGACAGGACAGCAAGGCCCAGTGGTGTTTCTCATTGGCATTCCAGCAGTTGAGGGATGGGTGAAGGACATTTCTTTATTTTGTAAAGTAGAAGTAGTGTTATTACAAATTTGGATATGTTCTCAGGTAGATCAATTTTAGAAAAGCGTACAAATGTAATTTGATAGTTTTAACAGTTTCTGCATTGTGTACCTCTCAAAAAGTGTGGTGTTCATATATTCATGATGTGTACACTCATATGAAGAATGCTATTCAGCCTGGCTGTGTGGCTCAGCAGTTGAGCATTAACCTATACAAACAGGTTGCCAGTCTGATTCCCAGTCAGGGCACATGCCCAGGTTGTGGGCCAAATCCCTGGTGGGGAGCATGCAGGAGACGGCCAATCGATGTTCTCTCTCATTGATGTTTCTATCTCTCTCTCCCTCTCCCTTCTTCTCTCTCTAAAATCAATAAAGAAAAAAATTTTTTTAATGTTATTCAACAAGACTGTTCCAGATATACAAAGCCCACCCACCATACACCACACATCATTGTTCCAGGAAATGGGATTCGAAATGGTATTTGGTTATTATAGTTATAAGTTAAATAGTTACATACTAAAAACATAAAATTTTATAATGGCTCAGAAACTTGGAACCTCATCATGAAGTGTTTGGGCATTTGGTAATAGAATTTAATATTTTAAAATTTTGACAAGTTGAAAAATAAATATTCAAAAAAATATATAAACATACTAAGTACTACATCTAGTACCTTAAAGCTGTATTTATATATAACAACATAAGCCATGAAAGAGCAGACTCAAAAATTTCATCCATATTGATAGTCTATTTAATAATCAATCCTGTAACCCTGAGATTATTCCATTATTCCACATCAAATTAGAACTGCAAACTTCACCCATAAATAACTATGTGGTTGAATTTTTATTTTGGTGAAAGTAGCAATAACTATACAAATTCAACTAACACTTTAAGTGGATTTAAATAAAATGCTTCATATAGACACAGGGTAACTGAATGAACAATGCATCAGTCTGATAACAGAGGCAGTATAACATAGCTAAATATTATTCAACATTTCTGAAAAGAAAGAGTATTAATGAAGACAATGAAGAATAATTTAGACAAATAAAGATTAAATGTTTTTAGAAACTATCATTCTAGATTACAAAAATGAAACTTTTTTCAAAATTTTAAATACAAAAATGTAAAATACTCATAAAAAATTGGGATAAATTCATAACATCTTTTTCTTAATATTAAAATATGCATTTAAATGCAGAATAAGTATTAGAAATGTTTTGTAAAATATTACATATTTATTTAAAACTCTCATTGCCTCCATGAGTTAACAAAAATGTACAAATAAAAATTATAATTATAATAAAATATAATATTTATAATTCCATAGCTTTTGTATCCAAAATAGGGGACATAATATGTTTCCTTAAATGTCCATTTTAACATGTAACTTTGTGTATAATATTACTAAGAAAATATATTCAGGTGATTTTCAAAACAATTCTCCTCCTAGTAGTCCTTCAGGAATATATTAGTATATATGGTTTTAAACACATATATCACTTAGAGTATTTTCACTATTAAGCATTACTGACATTTTTAAGTATCCTAAATAATTATTTATAATTTTTCTGTTGATTTGAAGAATCAAGGCAATAACAAAAGAGAAAATAATTAAATAACTTTGTGGGAATGTGCAATTTATGTTGATCATTACATGAAACTTAATTTTAAAATAACCCAAGGGAAATTCAAGTCAAAAGAAAAGAACAGATTCTTTATTAAATGTTAGATACTGAATTATGGATAATATAATATTTTTGTAGAATTTAATTTATAAATGCAAGTAAGAAAATATTATTGATTTGTTTTTTCTCTTCTAGTTGGAATACAAATATGCACAAGCTGTTATTTCCAGATAATGACTAGTAACTGATTAGCTTAAACTTTGTCTATGTTCCATTCACTATTCATTGGAGATCAGATATAAAACGACTATGTTTCTGATCTCAAAATATTAATACAATAATCTAGAATCTTTAAGCCTTGATCTGATGGCTAGTAGATTTTGAGTTCTTGGGTTCTCATCCTGGATTTGTGAGTCAGGAAACCCGATTTTTCTCCCCTTCATAGCTTCATGAACACTTTTATTTTGGGTGACTTTGTCTCAGTCATGTTCCACTGGCTTAGCTCTCTGTGGTTGAACAAATTCATATTTTTCAAATTAATATGCACTAAGAAAATTTTACCCCAAATAGTGAGGTGATCATCATCTGCTCAAGCAAGGCTGAAGCTCCAAATTTGGATCCCCCTGTTGCGTCGATTGTTGTTCTAGGAAGATAACAACAGAAGCCAGCAAGATCTCCTCTAGAATAAATATATCCAAGATATTGCTGCTAAACATGTGCAGCAATAATTAAAACATTGTAATAGTGTCAAGTCTGGCTTATTTGTTGGCATTTTCTTAATCACACTAAATGTACCTCAGGATGGTATCTCTTGCTCCCCTTGCAGACCTAAGTCCTATCTCTCCTATAAAAAGCTCTGTCCTTCTGAGGCTCTTACCCCATAGCTATACCACTTTTTTCTAGCCTTATTGTGCCCATGTTTTGAATTTGTGAACATCCCATTCAGTGGTGAAGGACCTCAGCTATTCCTGCAAAGAATCCTCTACACCACATCCAACCACACCCAGGTAACTGTCCTACAGGATCATACATGATACATACTGACTGAATATGCTTGTGCCTCCAAGATAGTATCCTCCACACTATCTCAGCCACCATGTCTCATAGTTACTACCTCAAAATAAAATAAATAAATAAACAATTGAATAAGAAAATAAGAAAAAAATAGAATCAATAAATCTGGCCATGATGAGAATAAAGATCATGGGCATCATCTTCTTTGGCCATTTCCAAAGCTACAGAATTCATTCCTCATTCCCGCAATTCCAATTCCCATTGATCTGTGTGTAGATGAATTCACACATCTATGGAAGAAAGCATCAATTAAACAATCAACTGAAAAACAGTGGGATCAGTTTCACTGGAAAGAATTGAGTATGTCTTTTCCTAACTATAAAACTTGATCTAGTAATGAAATAAATAATTTATATTAAAAATAAATTAAGGCTAAAACTCAAGTAAAGTATATTTGAGTCATGCTAAAGATTATTACCATAGAGATTTTTGTTTCAAAGGTGAAAAAAAAAACAACCCAAAGAAACCAACCTTTTTTTTTCAAGGGAGGTTCTTCTATTTCTCCTAAACCAAGACAAAAAACAGTAAATTAGGAAAACTTTTATCATAGCATAATATTGTTACTCTATTTTCCCATTTTCTTTTTTTTATTCTTAAAAACATCTATTAATTTTTACAATAGTCATTATATTACTTTGTTTCCCAAATTCCACTTTTTTAAATATAAACTTTGTTTATGTACATTTATTAGACATAGTTTTACTTTTATGTGTTCAATAAAATTGTCAGTGGTCCAAATTATACATTATAGTTTGCATATCATGTTAATTTCAGTTCTCTATTGTTCTTCTCCAACTCTCATTGGGGCCAAACAATTATAAATTCAGACAAAATCATATAAAGAAATAAAATAATAAGAGCTTTCCTGGTAGTCAAGGCTGAATAAATTATGTCTGATGAATAAGGTTGTGCCTAAAAATGTCACTGAAAAACAGAATCAAAATGCTTTTACTTTTCATGTCTACTCAATAGCAGTTTATGTGTAATTTGAGTTTATTTTTTTTTATTCATTAATATATATTTGTTGTAACATTTGCATAATTGTTGTGACATTTAGAATGTGTCCTTGCATTCTGAACCCCCATTTGGTTCAATAAATTTATTTTGATTTTGATTTTAATGAGATTGCTTTCTATTATTTGACTATGAATGTGACTTTTATGTATAAAACATTTATATGTATATTTAGTTTTACTGTTATTTCAACTTTTCTAAGGATAAACTTGAAAAATATCTATTACTTTTCCCCAAATAAACATATAAATGTTTCTATTGTGGGTTTGTAGTAGCACATAATAAGACCCTCTACTATAATGCTACTCTAATGGTAGTATTTAATATTGACATCTTTGCCATAATGGCAGATAAGCTACAAGGTGAAAGCCAAGTGAGACCACCAATTTAGTGAGTTTGGCATACTGTTGATTCTCTATGAGTACTCAGAAATACATTAATTTTGGTTTAGACTGACCCAAGCTCTCATTTGTGCTTAAACTTAAGAAAACCACTGTACTGGATATCTAATAATGGTCCTAGCAGTTAGATATGTTTCTATGCTCTTTGTACCTTTATCAGTGTCTTCATCCCCATCATCATCATCTTCTTCATCACCGTCAGAGGAGATGATGTCAGACAACAAAGAAAAGAAGCCATAGACCCAGTCCGTGGTTTCCTCCACAGCATGATGTACAAATTTTAGAGGATCTGAGCCAATCTTGGAAATAGAGCTTGCTAAAAGTAATTTTAAAAGAAGAAAAGTTTATAATAATTCCAAAAAAATCTAAGAAAAGCTGTTTTTCCTGATTTGTTCTTTTGACTAAATGAATATGTCAATTTTATAAATTTAAATATCTCTTGGCTATTTTTTTTTTTTTGCTTAGAAATATAAATTATATTTTGTCATAGTATACATGTATATTCAATTAAAAAGAAAAATTATTGAATAACTGTGGTCCAAATTACTATGGTGTAACCAAGAATGAAAATGCTCTTCAGAAGTTTTTTATCTAAATAAGAATTCAACATGGGAGAAATTAGAAATAAATTAAAACAATGTATACTTGTGTTATTCAAATTACAATATAAACTCTAAGTTATGGATGGTCAGGAACAGAGAAATAATGGTTGGTCCATATTATACTGGAAAACATCATGGTGAAGATGGACCTGTACATTTTCAGATAAACAGTAAGTACCAAGCTGACTAAACTAGCTGTGACTAAAATAAAACTGTTAAGTCCATTTATTATAATTTGTAACATAGCAGGAAAAATATGGAGTTGTCAAGGTAGTGATCATGTTCAGCCCCAGCTAGCCTCAACTGGTTTATCCTTGTGAGATATCCCAGTACCTAAAAATTAAGTTTTGAATCTCTAATAATGTTAATGCATAGAATTAGAAAAGGAAATGAAGTGCATAAATATTTCCTTTTTTTTCTCCTAAGAGATATAAAGTGTTTACAGAATGAGAGATTAAATAATAAAAAAAGGCAAGCAATTAAACATTTTAAGTATTTCCAAAATGTTGTTCTTCTCATTCAAATTATAAGAAAATGTCTTTGAAGGAGTAAAAACAGCCTTTTAGATTTGATGAAAAGGTGATCTTTCTAGAAACATAACATAAATTGCACCTGATTTTTTATTAATCTGTAATTAAATTTTGGATTTATATTTTCCTTAATTCAAAAAACTACATTAGCTTTCAGAGATTCTTTTCTCTTTGATATCTGAAGAGTCTAGAATTATACCCACATATTATATTATCTAAAGGTTAAGTACTCCAAAATTAGTCTTTTACTCTGATTGTGATAGGAAGTCATTGAAAGAGGAATGAAGTGATTTGACTTATGTAATGTCATTTGCTGTGTTGAGTATTGAAAGAATGCCAGGTTGGAAATAGGAAGATCAGAAAGCAGCCACATAAAGTAATATAGAAGAAAAATTACAGCAATTTCTATCAGGATTTTAACAGTGTATATGGTGAGATGTGGCCAGATTTGAATGTATCTAAAAGATAGAATTAATAACCTAAACTTACAGTTTGGTTATGGGATGTGAGAGAATGAGAGGGATACAGGATAGTGTGAAGGTTTTGGTATGAAAAAATCAGAACAGTGGAAATGCCATTTACTTAATTGGAGAGAAGCAGGGATTTGGGGGAGTGTATATAAGTAGTTGAGTTTTAGACTTGTCAAACTTGAGTTGCCTTTTACACATCTATGTGGCAATGTATCATAGTGTATAGCTCACTATGATCTATAAAGGAGAAGTTCTTACTGAAGATAGAAACTTGAGGGTTTGATAGAGAACAGAAAGTATTCAAAGTCATGACACTGAAAGTGATCAACAAGAGAGTAGATCCAGGAACTTTCCAACATTTAGAAGATAGGATTAAGTCAGAGATGGGGAAGAACCAGCAATGGATTGTTAAAAGGAGAGAGAGAGAGAGAAACACAGATTTAAAAAAAGAGAATGTAATGCACTAGATGTACTAGATAGATATCAAGTGAAGAAATTGTTTTGAGGAAGATAGAATGATCACTGACAAATGAGCAAATTTAACTGATAGGTCAAGTGAGAATGACTTTTAGCTTTAATGATGAGGATGTCATTGGTATTCTCAAATGGAAGTTTCAGTGGAATGCATTCAAGACCAAACGGGAAGAATTTAGAGGCAGTGAGTATATTTTACTGTGAAGTAAATGACAGTTTCAGAAATGGTTGAAGGAGGATTACTCATAGAGGGTTTTCTGTTGTTGATACTGTTTAGGAAAGAAGAAAGAAATACTCCATTTTTGTGCTGATGGGTAAGATCCCACAGAGAAGGTGGAAATGATAAGAGAAAGATTTCTGGGGAAATTTTAATTTTATGTTCTATTTCAAAAGATTCACATCCATCCAAGAAAGACAAGTTATAAAATGCTGGTCTCAGGGAAACATATCTCCAGGATTCAGTGTCATTGTAACTTTACTCTTTGGTCTTTATTTTACTACATTCTGGAGAGTTTCATGTGAGCAAGATATGATAGTTTGAATGGTTAGATTAAACCTTAGAGAAAGGAAATGAGTGGATTTTATAATTGCAATTGAGGCTATTAAAAGAATTATATGTAAGGAACTGGATTGTACTGACATCATTAAAGACATTTTAGCACTAGAATATTTTATATCTAATGGAAGAATACTGCAAATGGTGTTTTTATTATCTGAATATATTGAGACCATTTCACCATTCCCTTTCTTTCTAAGTGTTCACTGAGGAACATAACAATAAAATCCAACAAAATAGACATCTGTTTAATTATCCTTATACTTATATGCATTATATAAACTCTGTAGATATGTATTTTGCCTCATTCTAAAATAGCCAAATCAGACTACCTTCATAAAGTCAATGTTGCTGGCTTGAGATCAGCTTCTGATTTTTAGCCATGTGGACAACTTTAAAAGATGATAGAGATATAGATATAGATATAGATATAGATATAGATATAGATATAGATACAGACACAGACACAGACGATAGATATAGAGATAGATATATATCTTAAATAAGACAGCAATCTTCAAGTCAATTCTTATTTCTTCCCTCAGACATCACATCCACATTATCTCAAAGAGAATAATATACAGTGCAACTAAATCTTCTATTAATACCTTCCTATTTTAGAATACTCAGATAACTGTACTTTCTTACTTCTCCTGTTTCCATGAGTTAAATTACATATATCACAGTAAGCATCATCATAAAAATAATAGTAGCTAACACTTATAAAGTGCATATTACCTGCAGGATAACATTCTAAGAAATTACATACATTAACTCACTTTTTCCTTTTAATAATCCAATGTGGTAACTATATTATTTTATCTCTACTTTGAATATAAAAACACTGAGACACAGAGAATTAAATAATGTGCCTAAGGTTATACAGCTAGTAAATGATGCAGTCTGATTTTTGTACCCTCCAGAACATGACTTTAAGCAATTACGTTATACTGCTATCAAACAAACAAAAACATAAATTTACAATTGGTCCTAAAATAAGATGTTGGGTTTGAGATTCTGGGAGGGGATTTCTTGCTGCTAAGAGGGGGAATAAGAAGTTTGTTGCATGGTATCAGAGAACCTGGAGCTGCTGTAAGCCACCTTACACCCATGCAGACTTAGCTGGCTTACCGAGAAAAGCGAAGGTTAAAAATGAAAGAACTTGAGTCCATGACATTGCTGAGGCATTGAATTACCCAATCTTGCAATAATCACCTGCTCCCAGCACTTCTATTATATGAGATAAAAAATGTTTCTCAGTGTTCAAGTACTCTTAATTGTATCTTCTATTTCTTACGGAAATATATACCACCAGATGCAGGGGAAACTGCGTTAGACTCCTTGAGATCTGTAATTGGATTCTTGTCACTCATAAAAGAGTGCCAAAAAGGCAAGAAGAAGTTTGAAGTTAAATCAGATTTTTATTTGTTCTCTGTCTTTGAAGCCAAACTGTACAGATTTTAAGTTTCTAAACATACTAGGGAAATTAAATTAGTCATTTTTTTCTGCTTTCCTCCTGAAGAATGAATTCCATGGATGCACCATTATCTTTGACCACCAGTCTTAGGTTCTCTAAGTTGTATTTGACTCCTCTTTATCTTTCCTGGGAAACATCAGTGAACAATGGTTATAAACATGGGTTCTGAGCTCAGACTGACAGCATTCACATTTAAGGCTCCCACCTTGTGCTGTATCAGCCCATACTGGAGCCAGAAACAAAAGCAAATATTGGTCAAAATGATCCTGTCTTTATTTAAAATTTTCATATTTTGTCATCACCAATTTTTGCATTAATTTTGAACTTGTGAATTTTGCATTAAAATACTATTCATTTTAATTACTGAATTTTCTAGACACTCTTAAATTTGACACCCAAGGTGAGTTCTTTACACACCTCTGGCTAGTCCTGGTGCTTCCTCCACCTAATAGCTTGTGATGTTCAGAAAATTAACTTTTCCATGTTTATAAAATTTAATGAGTCGTTTGCTTTTCCAGAGTCACTTTTCTAAATCACAGCCTCAACTCTTCCTGCCAGTTATCCCTATAGTCAGCCTTCTCATATTCCACTGTATAAGATACCCAAACAGTATTATATAATGGGAAAAAATTTTCAAAGTACTCTGTACTTCCATTTGCTGAACTTTAAAATGACAATAAGAGTGATAATATCTCAAGTGTTGTGAGTACTGTATAAGAGCATACATATAAATCACATAACACAGTTCCTGGTAATTAATAAATGTCAATGTGGAGAAACAAGCAATATTGTCTTTGAATCTAGAATAATCCAGAGGTTCTTCCAAGTTTGCTAGCCAGGGCTGGCATATCAGGCCCAGTATATGATCTTGTCTTCTCTTAGAATCTCCAACTACAATACAACTGTCGCTTCCAGTATCCACTTAGGTATTCGGCATCTCAATTCTGACTGCATGGTATCCACTCTCAAATAAGTTACCCCCCAGCTATAAGGCTGCCCTCATGACTCACACTTTCCTTGTATAATGAAAGAGCAACAAAGAGAAAGGGTCTCTGGATTTACCCATCTGCATCCGTCTGAGCCAGTTCATGGGATGGCAAAACAGGGGTCTCAGTCATCTCCAAAGTATTATAAATGTAAATTCTAACACTATCAATATCATCATAAACTAATAATTTATAAAGAAATGCTATTGCCCTGGATGGTT